AATTTAAATAACGTAATTATGCTTAAGATTTTTCATCACGACAAAACAAATAAATCATTCAGTGAAATGCCGTGAGAGAAATATTCGTTGCAGCAACTGCATATTTTTTTTAAAATAAGTTATCAATAATTAAAAATAAATTTATATGTTAATATAAATTATTTATTTTAAATATAAAAAATTTTAATATATTAAAATATTTATGTATTATAAAATCTAATAAAAACATTATTTATATTTTCAAAAATATATTTAATATAACTTTTAGTTATATAAAATAATTTATTATCATGTGCAATCTTGTATTATACAAAATAAAATAATTTATTATACGTGTATGAATGAATTGATACAACTTTATATAGTTATTAATTTCCTACCAGACTGGAGCATATTTTCTCTTATTTATAAAAGATAAACATTATTAGTAAAAATTATAAAATCCGTAACAAATAAAGTTAAAAAATATTTTTAATTTAATGATGTTATATTATAAGTGATTGTTTTTTTAGTAAAATCTTTTTCTATATCTTATTTTTTATTAATAATACTTAGATTTGAGACCTTAATAAATTTAAATTCAATTTTAAGGAAAATAATATAATGTTAATAAATTCATTTTAAAAGATATGATTATTCAGTGGAAAATTAAAAGACTCTTTTTAAGTTTATTTACTTATTAAACAGTATATTTATGTTATTTAAATCATTCATATTTACTGATAAAAAAAAAGTCAATGGTATTTATCTCAAGGATATTTTATACAAAATTTATAATAACTACGTATTTAAACAGTAAAAGTAGTATAAAATAATATGTGCAGAGCAAAATAGAAATTAATAGGAGACATGATGAAGCTAGAAAAGTCTAAAAAGTAAGCGAAAAAAATGATGATAAATTTTCTTGAGATTCTCTAATGTGACAATGACAGAGCCGCACGAGAGTCCCTTCATTGGATTCTCTTACAAATGCCGGGGTGGCCTCAGACACTCACACAACTACAAATCTGACAAAATCATTTCATTTCATCTCCTTAATCACAGTTTAGTCTCATGTTACAAAAATCAAACCAATCTGTTCCTTAATTAGATCACAAAATTCAGATCAAATATATATAATAAAAAATAATTGTACATACAATCTCACTCTCACGTGAGATGTTAACTTTTTAACGCGTAAAATATTGAAATTCGAGACAAATACATCCATCGAGCCCTTCATGTTCTTCCAAGTTGGACACAAAGGGTTAAAACTGTCTTGACAGTTATGTCTTCACTACTTCCACTTGAAAATTGTCTCCAGGCCTAGTTGCTAAAGATTTATAGTCTTGTAGAATCTCTATAGACTCATGTGATCCAAATTAGGCATAACATAGTTAAGAGGGCCTCAGAGAAAATAAATTACATTTTCTTTTTTTTTTTCTTTTTTTTTTTTTGAGGAGGGAGTAACCTTGCACAATATCATTTGATGAATAAGGGTATGTGGTGGACCCTAAGTTTGACTATAGTAGACACTATTTTAAGGCTAATTTAATCAAATGTTGAAGACAAACTATAGTGCCACTGTATTATGATTAGTGGGGTTTAGGCCTACCAACTACAAAATAAAAATCAAACTCTTAATTACAACCGTGTCTAATCATCATAGTTTGAATTATTATACTAATTTGCGTGTATGAAAACAGCAGGGTACAAGCTACAGAGTACTACTTCTGAAATAATCTATTTTTGTGATGCAGAGGATGGATTGTTAACCATTACCTAACTTATTGTCGCCATGAATATATCCCCCACAAGATTTTGTTAAGTAGAAGCATAGAAACAAAAGACACCAGACTGTTAAAATTGATTAAAATAAAAATTATCAGTTATATCACCACCAACAAGTGATGCAGTAGAGGAAAAGAAAATACCAACAACTGATGCAGTAGAGGAAAATAAAATAAAGAGAAATTTGCATACAAAAGGAAAGTGTATGACTTTACTTTCTCTAATTGACAACTGAAGCTTTGTAGAGTTGCAAGCTTGAACACTCACAAACCTTAAACCAAACCATTACATTTGCACTCAGCACACTTAAAGGTCAGAACATATCTTCTAAAAAAAAAAAAAGTAAGCTTAAAACCTAAATTTAGTTGGGGAGCCACCCCCAACTAGATTTAGTAACTAACAAAGCAAACCCTACAAATTGTCAAAATTAGCAGAAATTAAAGAAAGGGGGAGGAAGAAGTAGTAACTAGTAACTATCTCCTAAGATGAACACACCAAAATCTAGAGTTCCCAAAGCATGTAGACCTCTCTCATTTGCTAGAGGTGCACATGATATAGTAAAAAAAAACCACTTCAAAAGTCCATCTTCTAAAGTGTCATGATCTTATTGCTATAACACATGTATGTTTCTTGTATTAACACACAAAATCAAACCGAGACATCTCTAAGTGCCACCAAGAAGAAGTGCTCCAAGTCAGGGGGCGTAAAGAATGAGAGTGGAGACCTTCGTAAGGAGCAATTTGAGAGAACTCTTGGCTTCTTTGGTGCTGGAGGGCATGTTGAGATCTCAGGGATCCTAAATTTCTGACCCTTTGGTGTGGAACATACACTTTCTGACACATCAATGATCTCAGAACCATGCGTGTCCATGTCAACTTCCTTAGAAGAGTCTTGCGAGCTTATGGAGGAGCAGGTGGAGGGCAACACTGTGGGAACAAGAACAACCTCTTGTTTCTTGCTCCTTGTGTTGTGGTGCTGCTTCTTCTTGAAGTTTGTTGTTCTTCTTTGATGTCTTGTTCTTCTTGTTGTTGTTGATGTCTTTGAGGTTGTCCTTGTTGATGCTATTGTTGTTGCTGTTCTAGAAGGGGCCATGTTCTTGAGAGACAATGAGGAGAAAGGCTTATTCTGGTGATTTTGGTTCAAAAGAAATGGTAAAGGTGGCTATAAACTGGCATGTACAAAAGCTGGCAACAAGAAGATTGAACCTTTATCAGAGCCAGAGAAGGGTTTACAATGCAACCAACCAACCACTGGGATGACACAACACAAACTTATCCTATTGGAGAGTGCTTTGAAATGATAAATTTTGACTCAAAAGTTGTTTGGAGAGGTTTTGGTTTTGTGGAGAAGTTTGGTAATGATGGTATTCAAGTGGGAACTAACTATCCCCTTCACCGCCCTTGTGTGTGTATATATATAACTGACACCACTAGCACACACTAAAATAGCTAACTCAAGAGAGTGGAGCAAGGAATCTCTAAGACAAGGTTTCTCAAAAGGGACATCGAGTGCTTTTTAAGCACCCATTTTGGAATTGTGAAGAGGTGTGTCACAGTTTTGACACAAACCAAAGTACCCAACTAAATCATAATTACACCCCTGCCATCACCATTAGACTAAGGAGAAGAAGAGTAATTAATAACTTGAGGAACCCCAAAAAAGTCACATTAACACTAGAAGACAAACTTATGAAGAGAAAAAAGTGCTGGAATTTTTAACCTTATGCAGAGGAAGAAGAGATTTTAATTTTATCTTACATTTGTGAGGAACTTAATTTGGGCATATTTATATTATGGGTAGAATGATCACGGGCAGCGGGCAGAGGTGCCCGTAGCAGTCAAAGAGAGGGAGGGAGAGTGGTCATTCAAATATTGGGGACCCTATTCTTGAACTTTATTGATGGACGTCTGAGGACTTGAATTTCATCAATTACCAAAAGTGTTAAAGGGTTAGTAATTAAACCATTCAGAATCTTCTTTTCTTTCGAGTTTTAATCTCAGAATATATTTTTTTATGGGATATCTAACATTCAAATACACTGTGCATGGGCTACCTCACATTCAAATTTTGATACTACATAATTAGGTCCCATCTAAATTCATTATCGATGTAATCTTTATTATGTTTAATAATAATGTCACCAAAAAGAAACCTTTTAACTATAATGTTATATGCACAATTGTACATAATGTAGTTTTGTAATTCTTTTTAATTCCTCCATGTAAGAGTTTTAAGAAACAAGATAAGTATCCTAATTAAATAGCATGAATATTTGTAGTTCTATATGGCAGGTGGATTCATTATTTGGAATACTATTACTTTTTGAAACCCTTGATGGTGATGCAGTTGATTCGGTACAAACTGTGTCCTAAAATGGTTTTCTAGATGAACCAGCTATGAATTGTATTACATATGACTTTAGATATTACATTATCTGTTTCATACTTTGGTTGAAGAATGAAAGAAAATTTTACAATGCAAGTAACCAAGTCTATTTTGTTTGCTTGACTGATGGACGCTTTTATTCAGTTCCTATCTGCTAGTAACAGCTAACAAGTAACAGGCAATTGCCTTTATGTCTTTAATCATAAGCTCACATCCAATAATTGCTCTATGGTGCTTTTGGCCCTTGCATCCATCAAATTCTAGGTTTCATTTGGTATGTCTACATGCTTTTACCTGCAAATTTACTTGTACTTTGGTAATGTGGGCCGGATCACATCATCTTGTTACGCAAATTTAAGGTAGATCTTTTGCATTTAAATGTTATAAGCCTATATATATATATATATCAAATTTCTCTTTATTTTTTTTGTCATTTTTTATTTCTAAAAATTTTTCAAAACATTATCCTTATAATAGCAAGTAATTACTCTAGATTATTAATCTTCACTTATATTTTATTTTTTTTAAATATGCAAAGGTACTAATTTTTTTATACTAGTATATATACAATTTAATTATTTTTTTTAATTATTTATCTTAATTTTAGATTTATTTTAATCTTTTATATTTTAAAATATTTATTTTGATCATTTATCTTCTAAATTCAGGTCAATTTATTTTTTTTATAATTTTTTTTACTTATTTATGATTTAAAATTTGTTTCATAAGATTTACTTGTATGAAAATTATTAAATACAATTGAAGTTCAAATCAAAAGTGTTATAAATATAGTAAAAATCAAAATTTTCAAAAATAACTTAATTTCATATTTTTTTTTATTTATGAGATATATTTTCACACAATTTTTACTATATTTATGGCCTTTATATTTTGAACATCAATTGCATTTCATAATTTTCTTCTAGATGATTTCTAATGTTACAACTTTTACAGCTTTCATTAATTAAAAATTGATTCAAAATCATGGTACAAAATTGAAAAAGATTGTTATTTTAAAAAGATCAAATTGATTCAAATATAAAAGATAAATGATCAAAATGAATATTTTAACAAATAAAAGACCAAAATAAATCTTAAAATAAGATAAATAATTAAAAGTATAATTTGACTTATATATAATAAACATAACTTTCACACATTTTCTTACTTTTCCCTCCATTTCATAGGAGTATTCATGGATCAGGTTGGTTCAAATTTAAGTAAAAATTCAATTTGGTATATCCAATTAAATTTAATTGGTTTGGATTGATTCAAATTGCATAAATTTTTTTTGCTTAACCTAAATTGAATTGATTTGATGTTAATTGGGTTGGTTTGATTCAAGTCATTAGATATCCAATAATTTTTTTAAAAATAATTAAATTAAAAAAATTCTCAAAATAAATAGATTTTTCGACATTAACTAAATTGATATACTATTAAAAATTAACTAAATTAATTTATTTGATCTATAGTTTATCTTGATTTGTTTTATTAATCTACTTAAAGATTTAAAATACACTTTAAGGTGTGAAAATGATACTCAATATATTACAATGTAGTTTTTCATGGTATTTCTTTAAGTATTTGAAAAAATGAATTAAAAAATATACATATTGTAACATAAAAAACGTCTTCAAAATAATCAAAACGATATATACATATTAATTATTAACCAAATAAAAAATAAAAACATATAAATTAATTAATTTGGTTGAGGTTATTTGGATTTTAAACATGTAAACTTGATACCCAAACCAATTAACATCAAATTTAATTGGTTTGGTTCAAATTAAATTCAAACAAAAAAAATCAAAATTAATTAAACTGGATTAGTAAGCTCTAAAGTACTTTTACAATTTTATTTTAAATACAACAAATTCTTTCTCGTGTCTTTTGGCATTAAAATTTGTAATCATGCATTGAAGTTCATGCGAGTTATTTTCTAAGCAAGTTTTGGATTTTTTTTTCTCCCTAATTAATTTTTGTTGGAAACTGTAAGCTCACACAAGATGAATATTTTTCTTTCAACATAATTTATGTCATATCCAATGTCAGAATTTAAATCTTAGGTAACTTGATTAAGAGATACAAATAACTACTATTTGTGTTAACCAATATTAGTAGGTGATTTGTTATTTATAAGGCCTAAGGCAGTCCATCATTAATGACTTGTTAAAAAAAATGTACAAGTCAATTTTTTAATAAAAATTAGATAATTCTTCCATCTACTGTTGAATACAAGTAATAAAAATAAAGTTATATTAAACTATCTTTTCTTGATTTTTTTTAAACAAAAGTTTATATTAGAATAAAATACGACTTCACGAAAGGCTAAAGTCAACTAACAATCTTTTTGATGATTTTCAAAAGATATAAAATATAAGGGAAATCGAATTTGATCACAAGTCCTAATTAGTAGAAGTAAAGAAACTTAATCAGTTGTGTCACCATTTCGCTAAATAATCAATTATTTGCAAACCTACTCTCGAGTCAAGTAGAAATACGAAAAAATAATCAATTATTTTTTATAGATAATTAATTATTTTGAGCAAAAACTCAATACTCCAAAATTTTCACTTCAAATTTTTTCAATTGATTTTAAACCTTATTCATATTATTCTTGATCATCAATCATCAACTTATACGAATATTATAAGGTGACCTAATGATATAGCACTAAGTATAAAACTTAAACATACACAAAGTAAAACAAATAATACAAGTTGCACTCGTTCAAAGATAAACATTTATATACACTTGTATTCATCAAACTTCTTAAGTTTCAACTTGATCTTGATCAACAAAGTGAATTAGACCAATGTAGTACAGAAAAGGAAAGTCAAACTACAAAGAGAATTCTCAGCACCTAAAGCAACACATTCAACATTGTCTTCTTTATTTCATCCCATTATAATGTCTACACATTTATGAAGCCTTGAAGCTCCAAACAAGTGTGAAGAATTACCATACTGTAAAGATTAAAGATCACATTTCTAACAACCAAGTGTTTAAGGCTCTCACCAACGAATATATTTGAAGCCTATAAATACAAGAGGAATTGAAAAGAAGAAAATAATAATGAATAACACTAATCATTGTGAATATTGTATTACCTTTATAAGATTAATCTTGTAAACACTAAAATCTTTTTACCCTTGTAAGCTTGAAGATGTCAATAAAAGAATATTGTAATAGGTTTTTTCTTCTATAGTCAAGAATGACACAGAAAATACTTGAATTGTAGAAAAGTTTTCAAGTTAGTGAAATCTTTTAAATTTAAAGGTAACTAAACTTGAACATAGTTAAGATTAAGTGAACCATTAAAAAATACAATGATTTATTTTAATCCCTTGTTCCCTCACATTTACTAGAAGAAAATGTTTTACAAACTTATAATGATTATTTGTGAAAAAGTTAAAATGACACACATATTCAACCATTTATGTGTTTTTTTTTAATTTTCACGTGACACATTGTTTCAAAAAAATGTTTCAATCGAATACCACTATATTTTAACATACTTTTTAATAATAAAAAATTAATAGGCTTGATTGCATATAAGAAAACTTATTTGTATTATTAAAGCGAATTGATAGAGTATCACAATATGCACTAATGATGTAATAGAAAATGTTTATTCTCTTTTTATCCACTCTTAATCTCATATTCTATCCCATCTTATTCTATCTTATCTTAACCATCAAACAAAGTGTAAAGGATGTTTATATTTAAACCACACTTATACAAAAAAAAATAAAATAAAACAGGGGTTCATATTGAAGCCAACTATTTTTTTTCCTATACACCTCATTTCAAATACATTAATTATAATAACTTCATTTCAAATAATAAAACAATAGCTCTCATCAATTTTCTTTCATCTATATCTATATTTATATATAAAAAGATTTTTTTTAAAAAAAAATTTGTATACATTTTGTTTGAGACAATTTTAATCTTTTAAATAAAATAAAACCTGTTAATCGCACACTATTTTATTGACACGAATAGTTAAATAGAGATAAGAAATATTTTTTTTTCTCCTTAGTAAATTATACAAATTTAAACTCAAAACTTATACATCCTACTTTATTCTAAATCTTCATTTTTATTTTTTAAGCCAGCCGTAATAGTGGAGTCAATCCAATACACCTCATAAAGATCTATTTTTCAGCGAGTAAGGTCCAACAATATCGCTCAAAATATTCAAAAATACAACCACAGAGTCTTTTGTGTACAATAACCACGATAAAGTTTGAGTTTAAAATTTTAATCAAATTATCTGAATCTCCTCTCTCTAAGTCAACATAGTGACTTGCACAACTTTAACTAAAATATAATTACCCAACATACATTTTAACTCAAGCATAAGTACATCACCATTTGTTTAATTAAAAAAAAAAACTGGCTCATAGATAAACTTTATAATCACTAGGTACGCAACATTTGGTTTTATCGCTAACACTATGTTGGTAACCTTCTTCCTTTAAATCAATTTCATCGCAGCTAAGCCCAAATTTGACGAAAGGGACGATGTGTTGTTGTGTGTCCGAATGCAGCGAATCCTAAAAATAAAACTATCACATTTAGGACAAACAAAATTAATGTTTTATTTGTTTCTGTAAGTTGCTTATTTTGTTCATTTATTGATTAGATGACTATGGGGAATAATAATGTTAAACTGGGAAGCTTCTAATTTCAGATGGAAATTACCCGTTCGTGTCTTCTAAAGGTCGTTGGCACTTAACAGTTGCTTCCTACAAGTCAAGGTTATTCTCTCTTGCTTTTCTTTGCTTTTACTCCATTAGACTCTCTCTCTCTCTCTCTCTCACACACACACACACACTTTCCGGGTCACTCTCTATGTAATCAATAGTTTCAAGAGTGGACTGAATATAGCTTATACTACTACCCCATGTATATCATCATGTAAAGTTAGCTGCTTTTTTTATCTGGGTGGTGCTCTTTTCCTTTTGTTTTTAATTGTTAACCTACATAATTTTGAAATATATATGTATATATTTTGACTGATTGTGAAGATGTAATCGATTGTTGAGTGCTGATCATGCACGTAGTTAGTTCTGGAATTTCAATTGTGATTCATTTTTTTATTGTTAAGTTGACTGAAAGATCCTTTGTGGGTGTGTTTTGGTGAAGGGGAATGAGAAGAGCTTGCTAAGCCTGAAAAACTCGCCTTTTTTGCTTTGAATTGAAGCGTGTGATGGAGTTTCCTTTCTTTGACCATTTGAATGTTTTGAGGGCATGCGCAAATATGCGATTTTGGGTCCTTTTCTTACTCCTGTTGCTGCTGAAGAGTGATGTTGTGTGTTCCAGTTCTGACTACTTGGTTGGTCTTGGAAGCTATGACATCACTGGCCCTGCTGCTGATGTTAACATGATGGGGTATGCTAACACAGGACAGATTGCGTCCGGGATTCACTTCCGGCTGAGGGCTCGTGCTTTCATCGTTGCAGAGCCAAAGGGTAACCGGGTAGTGTTTGTGAACCTTGATGCCTGCATGGCTTCACAGATTGTGAAAATCAAAGTGATTGAGAGGCTAAAAGAAAGGTACTAGCAGTGACAAGTCTCGGTTATCAAGGCTTACTGTGATAAAGAAATTGTCGTATCTTGAGAAATTTTACTTTGGTTTCCGCTTGTAGTAATATTTTGATCTCAATAGTTGTGTGTTTGAAGTCATAATTTCGTTCTTTTTGACAGATATGGTGATCTATATACTGAAAAGAATGTAGCCATTAGTGGAATTCACACTCATGCTGGTCCCGGGGGTTATCTCCAATATGTTGTATACATTGTAACTTCTTTTGGATTTGTGCACCAGTCCTTTGACGTTATTGTTGATGGCATTGAGAAATGCATTATCCAGGCCCATGAAAATCTCCGCCCAGGATCAATATTTGTCAATAAGGGTAAGGGAAAAACATTGCATACTTTTCTTCTTTCCTCCCTAGGACCTTATACACAGGTACAGGAATGCAATTCAACATACATAACATATCAATTTATTTATACAGATGGTAGTTTTGCATACTGTTGAATTGTACCACAAAAGATGAAAAGCTACAGGAATCAATTTTAGTTTTGCATTTTCTGTTGTGTTTTTTTGAAGATCGAAGACTAAAGTGTGCATGAGCCTGAGTTAAAGGGGGGGAAACGGGATTTTGCTCTTAGTTTTATTTTGAAATTGGAACAGTGTTACACTGTTACTATTATACTGTCTAGTGTCAAGTTTTTCTTTCAAGACCTCTTCATAACTTTCACTTTTAATTCTTATGTACGAATTTTAGATAGTATTGATTGCTACTTGGTGCCATGTATATCTGGCTTGGTTGATCAAATACCCAACTTGGAAATATATGTGAAAAGAAAGAGGAAATGACAAAAGCAAGGCAGGGATAAACTAGCACCAAAAAAAAAGTTCATATATTTTTTCTCCAAGTAGTAGGTATTGCTTCAAGTTCAGTGCTAGACCTCTATTGCTGTACTGGTTTTGTTTTACTATGAAATCACTGTATGAAATGACTAGTACTGATCTTCTTCCCTCCCTTTTGGTGAAATTGGATGGTAATAACTTATGACTCATTGGAAGGTTATCTTCATCTTGCAGGAGAACTCTTAGATGCTGGGGTAAATCGTAGTCCCAGTGCTTATCTCAATAACCCTGCTGCAGAGAGAAGAAAATATAGGTACAATGTTGATAAAGAAATGACTCTTTTAAAATTTGTCGATGATGATTGGGGACCTGTTGGAAGCTTCAATTGGTTTCCTACTCATGGGACTTCAATGAGTCGTACAAACTCATTAATTAGTGGGGATAATAAAGGTGCTGCTGCACGATTTATGGAAGACTGGTTTGAGCAAAAAGGTTCTGAAAGAATGGATTCTGTTGTATTTGAAGATGAAGGCTTGCCCCGAAGAATTTCAAATATAATTCCTAGACGTCATGATAAACGTATGTTACTTATGCTTTGCTTTTGGATGAAATTATTAGCTTCTTTTTCAACACAGATTTAAGAAACAAGATAAGTATCCTAATTAAATAGCATGAATATTTGTAGTTCTATATGGCAGGTGGATTCATTATTTGGAATACTATTACTTTTTGAAACCCTTGATGGTGATGCAGTTGATTCGGTACAAACTGTGTCCTAAAATGGTTTTCTAGATGAACCAGCTATGAATTGTATTACAACTACTTCAATTTTAGAACTTAGACTACACACTTAACAGTTTTGTGGTACCAATTGGAACAAGTTTATTTGTGTTCTTATCTTATCTGAAAGTTTGATGGAGTTAATTTTATGATGCAACCTATAAAGACTTAATAAATATGAGATGAGACTCAATTAATATATCTAACTTCTTAACATAATATATTAATTTTAACATTACACATAATTAAAATATAAAAATTAAAAATATACGATTATAATTAAGATATATTTTAATATATATATATATATATATATTATTGATATAAATATTTTAAATAAAATATTATTTATTAAGTCAAAAAAATTATTAATACAGTTATTTAAAAAACTATTGAATACATGACATTAAATTAACTTCAAACAATCTAAAAAATAACTCAAACTTATCCTTAAAATACACCCATTATAATTTGTAAGACTTGAGTTCATCAAAAAATCTCTTTAAATCGGAAATAATTAGTAAGACAAATCACGTCACTGGACATCCTAGTTTTATCTTTCTGTTCAAATAACGAAAAATTCCACATTAATTGTATGAATTTTTAGGGTTATGTATAAGTAATATTTTATTTCTTTGAATTAGTAGTTACGATGATGATCACTAACCATTAACTACTTCTAAATTCTAAAATGCATTTCAAAACCTAGTTTAATTGATCATAGTACTTTGTGGTTTGTAGATGGAGGGGAAGGTGCCCTTGGCACGAGGAACAGTTAATAGATTAAGATTCTCACTTGCTCATTGATCCATTAAAAATATTAATTTTATGTGTGCACCCACTAATTGATATGTTTGTTTGGTAACAATTATTTAATTTAGGGGTTGAAATATAGGAGGGTCGCAGAGTCTTGTCTTCTAGTCCCACTAGTTTGTCTTTTAGCCCTAAATTATAGCCTCACCTTATCAGAATCACACTCCTAAAATTATTTTTCTATTGTTCCCTCATAGGATCCTAGGAGGAGGGTTGCCACACCTGTATTATTCTATTCCATTGCTCCGTTTTTCACCCAGGTTCACTCGTGTAATGCTATAGACAATTTTCATGACACATTTTACCACCAAAGAATTTTTCGATCTTGGAATTGCATTAATTGGATAAACACAAGTCAAAAGAGTTTAATAAGGGTTGCTACTTAATGACTATTCTTTAGGATAGAGTTAGGGGACACAAGAATTTTTAGTGAGGAGAATTAGCACGTCTACTATAGGCTGATAACTAGCCACAAAAGTCACGAGCCTCCATATTTTGACTCAAAATAATTTAAGAATAATTCAAGATAAGAATGTTATATTGTCATATATATCTAGCATTTTTTTTAATTATGTCGTTGATGAGAAGTATTCATTGACCTTTTTAATGATTAATTTTGTTAATATTATTATCTGACTAATTATTTTTAATAAAATTTATTTTTTTAAATAAATCTTTTTTAGTTACAAAATTTAAAATTGATATCTCACTTAAAAGTAACAATCTAATTCTCTCTTGAAACGATGCCTTATGATTGATATCATAACCACCATATGACAAAGTAAAAAGTTGATATTAATGAAAAAAAAGGTTAATTAGATTATGTATAGAGTTCAATAAATTTTATACGAATGTGAAAATCAATAACTTATTTTATAAACTTCTGAAAGAAACTTATAAAGAAAATAAATTAATTTTAATTTATTTATCTACATTTCATTGTTAGAATTATGGGTTTATAATAAAATTTATTGAATACGATTTTAGTTAAAATACTTGACCAAATGCACCCATAGTACAAAAAATATAAAGTTTGCCATATAGTTATAGTATAGATTAGGTCAATTAGTTATTAAAGGTTTTTTTTTTTTTTGAGATCGGATAACTTCAATATATATCTAAGAGTAATTTCACATTCAAAGGCAGTAGAAAGTTAGGTAGAGACCAAAATAGGTAAAAAAATATATATATAAAAAATCATTTGTATTACCCTTTTTTTTTTTTTGAACAATCTTAAATTTTACATACTGTACCGGGAGGACCCTATCGGTCACGTTGACCAACACGTGCCGTTCCGTCAGACACCATGCGAACTGGACCATATACCTAAGGTTGACGTTAGCATCGGCTCGGCTTATAGCCGAAGGCCGAGATTTGTCAACTGGCGCATAACGGCTCGGCTGAAGGCCGATGCAAACAGCATGATGCATTCCCGCATACTATGTATCGGCTCGGCATCGATAGGATTACCAAGCAAACGTCTACCGGCATTAGCCTGTCGGCTCGGCATTGGACCGATAGGTTAAACAAGTTATAGTACAAATCACAGTTAACAAGGATAAGTGCATAATTAAGACATGATTAGCTGATTAGCATCGTATTACCTAATTTGGTAAAGATTAGAACAGGCCCATCACGTTCAGGCCCATGTTAGGTATTATAAATAGGTCACACGTAACGAGGTACGTCACTGTTCATTAATTACCCTAGAATATCGTGCATATCCTAACTTGAGCGTCGGAGTACCTTTTGCAGGTACCTCCCCCCTCTGAAGAGTCCGTTTAAAGCATCCGTTCGGCCCTTCTCACTAAGAAGACTACGAGTGTACCCTCAGGCAGGTACACATACTATACATTAAGCATATTTAAATTGGATTTGGATTGATGGTAGGAATTTACGTTGACTGCAAAATAATGGTGGAATCAATAGAAAATATAAAAGTAACTATTTGTTGATTTGGGAATTATGGTGATTATCATGTTAACAAAATACACTTAATGTGTGTTTAAGTTCATGTTAATTCATACAGAATTATGTTAATCAAATTTAAAGTGTATATTAGAAATTAGCTTTCAAAGAAACAATTTTATTAGGTAGATTTAATGTTGGATCAAAATTTTTATATTGAATTTTGTTGTTGTGAGATTTTTTATATTTCGCATATCATAACACATAAAAATATAAAAACTAAACAACCTTAATATAATAAAATAACACAAAATCTTGACAAGTATATAGAATCATGTTGTATCTTAAACTAACAACATAGCATAACTGAAAGAATTACAAAGAAACTAAAAATTGATGTTTTCTGTATGAACCAACAAAACAACATCCTAAATTAGTTGTAATTATGTCCTAATATCACATGTTCTATCATAGCAACCCATTATGAAACCTTAATTCTTATCACCAATATCTTTAGCAACATGTTGATTATCACCTGTAAAATCAACACGAGAGTAACAACAAAAACAAAGGGAGTGAGAAACATCTCACTTTGATCCATGATACAGAAATGCAAACTGAATAGTCAAATACAAACAATGAATACAACAAGACATAACCTACACAGATAATATCATTATCACACTTAGTTCATTTATGGCAAAATAAAACAATAACATTTAACATCATAATGCATATGCAATGGACACGAGCTACATGTTATCATACATGTGACGTTAGTAAAAATATCACATTTGTGCATTATCACTAATAATACACAGAGTAGCCTATGAGTACATGCCAAATCACACATTTGTGCATTCTCACTAGGAGGACATACTACTAGAACTTGATTGGGATAGTTAAGTCGCACAAGATACATCCCATGCACATGAGAGCAGTATTGTAACTTTTAAGCTGGGCTATCTCCAATGAGTAATCACTAAGCTTTTATACAAGGAGATTTTTCCTAACAATGTATTCCATATCATATCCTTAAAACACATTTTTATACAAATGGTGTATGTCAAACAAACTCGACATAATAACATACACATTATCTCACTTCACATATGACATATTTCTCATATCACTTCATATATCTCACATATTCTCAAATACATCAACTAGTCATTAGTAAAAAAAAGTAGTATCAAGAACACAAGGGTAAAATAACCAACTAATAGTCACTGAACGAATGTCACTTTCTTGAGCGAGTTGAGCTCCCTAGAGCCTTTTGTTAAGCAACCAACATCTAGCTGAGTCACCAACACCTAGCTAAGTGAACTGAGCCCCTTCTTATTGAGTGACCAATATCTAACTGAGTGAGTTAAGCCCCTTAGGGTTTCTCGTTATGCGAGCTGAGTCCCCAAGGCTCCTCTCATTGAGCGATCCAACATATCTGGCCGAGCAAGAACACAATTTTCCTCCTTAAAAATCACATCTCCTCAAGGACTACAAGTTATCCACATTCAATTTCATGCATAAACACATATACAATTAATAAAAGTATTTTATAATATGCAATTAACATACCAAGTCACTCAATTTACACATATCAATCAATATCTTTACAAACTATCAAGTTTCCTTAGGGTTTCTCAAAGGAACCCACAAGAATTTTAAATCATACAATTACAATCTAAAACATACAATTGATCATACGTTCAAACAATTCATGTAATTAGAAATGTGTAAGAAGAACAAGAGACAAAATAGATGCATTTGGAAAAAATCTCTCTTACATAGGCATACAACTTACACAAAATTGGGTGTCAATCCATTATCTGACACACAAATTCACACCTAGAATAGGGTTTCTCACTCTCCCTACCCCTTACCTTAGTAAACAGAAAAGAAAAAAAAAAAGATTAATGCATGACTCCAGGCTTCTTGCTCCTTGTTATCTAAGCTTTGAAACGCGTATGTAAAATAAAAGTATAATAGAATTTGATCAGAAAATTACTCTTTTAAAAACCTTAACTTCTTTTTAATCCTTTAGTTAAAACACTTAACATTAGTTATTAATTCTTTTTCCTTTTAATTTAATTAAATAAAAATTTTAATAATTCATCTTATATCATCATCCAAAACATATTAAATAATTAAAATAAATATTAATCAATTTTTGTTAATTAAAATAAAAATATCAAAATTATTAATTAAAATACTTATATTTTATGAAAAACGGAGGGTTACAATTGTTAACCTTTAGAATGAAAACATTGGAACATAAATTACATTAAAACATT